TAGGCAGTGTTGCCGCCTGCCTGATAACTAAACAGATAAAAAAAAATACTTTCGGGGAATAAGACACCATAATACAATTTTTGTTAAATACATTTACAAAATTGGAAACATTGACATGACTGTTTTTATTTCATGGTTTCACCTAAATCAATAATAAATCAGAGCAAAGGCAGATTTTAAAATTTATTGTTAATTGTGCATCCGTTAGTAATATTCTTAATAATTAACAGTGTATTCTTCTCTTTTTTAAATTGGCTACTTGGCGAACCTGTTTCCCAGGGTGACAGTAATTCTTTATTAAGACTTTCTAAATTAGTTAGTTATGAAGGTAATGAATGCCAGGACTATTACAGTCACAAATTGTTTCCTGGGAAGTCTAAAATATACTAAAATTCTTCAAGGTTTATTAAGTAAAGTTAATGTTAATGAAAACACTGTTAATGTCATTTAGTAAGGAAGGGTCATGTGTGGCTCTGTAGTTAGCATGCTCTAACTGAAACTGAGAGTTCTTTATTCGCGACTCGTTGCTGCAAAAACGCGGTACGCATTTTGGGGCAGTAGTGTGTGTGTGTTCTTTATTCGCGACTCGTTGCTGCAAAAACGCGGTACGCATTTTGGGGCAGTAGTGTGTGTGTGTTCTTTATTCGCGACTCGTTGCTGCAAAAACGCGGTACGCATTTTGGGGCAGTAGTGTGTGTGTGTGTGTGTGTGTTCTTTATTCGCGACTCGTTGCTGCAAAATCGCGCTACGCATTTTGGGGCAGTAATGTGTGTGTGTGTGCGCGCGCGCTACAAAATTGATGATCAAATCCCACTGTTGGTTAGACTAGAGTACCAAGAGCTGATGATGGGTATTGTTGATTAGCTGCCTTCCCTCTAGACTATCATTTTAAGATAAGGGCAGCTAAACGTTGCATAGGTTTTTACGCAGATTCGAGAATTCTGAACTATTCCATGAATGTATGTTTCAGTAAGTAAGCAAGTGATCTTAAAATTATTGAAATTATAAGTTGAACTTTCGACACTAAAACATTCCCGTAAAATACATGAGGGAACTAACATTTTTCAGCTATCAAGAATTTATGCTTTAACTAACGTTTATGTATCTTGCGTTCTGATGTTAAAATGTTCATGTAAAATGTGTTGCTTATCGCAAGACGTAGAAAACAGAGAATTTTGTCGTTGTTGTTTTGAAAATATACATGTCGTAGCAATATCACAAGAAAAACACATAATATTAACAGTAGTGAAACTTATTATATGTTGTTTAATGTTTGGAGTAAAAATCTCAGTCGTCAAATTTCTTCTTTTTTTCAGGAATAAACGTTTCTAATTTGAAAACGGTTTTAGTTAAACAGTTTTATTTAATTAAACTTCATGATTTCCTTACACAAATGAAAAACTTTGGTCCATTAGTTTCCACCAGATGTCTATAACTTATAATAATATATGTCTGGTAGTTTCATGTTAAGCCTATTTTCTAACAACTTCTTTGAAATCGAAGACATAATTATAGGATAGTATTGTTCAACACATTGAAATGTATGTAAATCAATCTCTTCTGGTAGTACACAACACGACATTAACACAGAAATAAAAACACTTCACTTTAGCTCACGTGAATAATAAGGCACATGTCTTAGTAACATCTGTCGTGATGTTTTCTTCTATTGTAGAATTTAATTTGCACTACTTTCTTCGTAAAATGCACGACCTGTCAGAAAATTATTCTCGAGTTTGAAGCTGTTGTTTTTGTTTTCACGAGGAAAATACTTTTAGGAATTAGTCTCTGAATTACGCTGCGTAACTTGAGATTTCACAAAATTTGAGCATAATAAAATTAGCCTACCACATACAAATTTTACCTTTCTGGTATAACTATATATGAACCATGTTCACCCGTGAATACCGAATTCTTAACTTATGAAATAATTCAATATGCTTTATTTTATTATTAGAAATAAGCATACAAAACATTTATAATATATTTATTCTAAAGAACTTATACTATTTAAATATTACAAAATAATTAAGTGCACTTTAGGTATAAAATTATTCGATTTAACGAAAGTCTCAGAGAATATATCACCTGCAAGAGCGACGTATATGGTTTAAAACAGAAATATTTTTGTACTTACAATCACATCAAAGTGTTCCAGATGAAAAAGCATGCACTTATTATCAGGAAAAGCGACTCTGAAGGCGTGATCCAATGTTTAGAGTAGAGAACAGGTTTTCTATTTAGGTCGTTCGAGTTTTATATAAAAACTATTTATTTTGCATTTGATATTTTTGTAAAAGATACACACACATATATATATATAAATTATATTTTATTAAATCCTTTCATTACTTGTTATTTTTTTATGATACTCACTAAGTATCGTTGCACGGTCGACGATAAAATTAGGCCCAATAACAACAACGTACTTTTAAGTGATTAATTTATTTATGCACTGTCAGTAAAGGATGAAATAAGAGTTCTTTGCCAATAAATAAATATAAATCATGCCAAGGGTGGTCATGAATTTATTTAAAGTACAAGCAATCACAATTATAATACTTGTTCTTTCCTATTCAAAATGTAAGGTTTTTATTACCGATACATTTTTAAAGCCTAGTAGAAATATGTATTTGCTTATTTTAGTAGGCCTAGTTTTTTCATATCAATACCAACAGTTTTTCATAGCAACAGTTGTTTTTTTTCGAATGTGTAATGTAATGTTCTATAAATAATACAATTAATACATTTGTACCATGAAACAACAAGTATTATAATTGTGATTCCTTGGACTTTAAATAAATTCATGACCATCCTTGGCAAGATAAATAAGTAGTAATTTTTAGTCACCGTGTATATGGAATTTATACATGAGATACTGATTCAGCGTACATCTATGGACTTTTAGTTCTGCTCGCTATAGCATAAAGGTTCCCTGTGTATTTTAGAGGTTATTCACAAACAGATTCAAACATGGGACTTCTTAACAATAAACTTATATCTCTAACCAACATGAGCAATGAGAACTGATGGTGAAGTCTGAAAAGAAGCATGTATTTATAGAGATATTTCTAAAACCATATTAGTCATCACGAAATTCCAAAACAATATATTCTCTCGTTTGATTTCATATGAATAATTAATTGTTAAGCTTAGATGCTGTACAAATATTTAGTATCAAAATTAATACATATAATTAATTGTTTCTTACATTGATGGGATAGAAAAATCTATTTTTTTGCACTTTCATTAAAAGATACTCCACATGCTTCTATAAGCAACTGTTTTATGTATAAACTTTTATTTATTCAGATTAACTTGCACAATCTGTCAGATTTAAAAGTAAGAGACTAATAGGTAAAATAGAATTTATAGCTTTTTAGTCAATATACTATTTTCAGATTTAGCAATTTTCACCAACATTTTATAATCCATAGAATAAATCGACTTCTGACTTCAAGTTCATACATTTATGATTCTCTTAGTTCAATCTTTCTTACAACTGTTCTTGGAATAAACTGATTAAATAAATGCATTATTTGTATGGATTATTAAGTCGTTTAAAAATGTATATATAAAACAAGGCAAAATCAATTCCTATTTCAAACTTGCTATTGGTAAAAAAAATAATTTTATGCAAAATTATGTTCAATAAATCCATTTGTATACAATCGTGTCAAAAATCAACGTTAGGAATAAGCTAAACCAGGGCTTAATAGTGGAATAATAGCAAGTTTACTTGGACGGCAATCATAAATTTTTACATGACAAGGTATTTACGTACGTTTGATATAATCGAAACAGCCCTCACGAATGTGTGCTTTTGTGTATATATATATCATCTCTTGCTCAACTAGTTCAATATAATATGATTCTTCAAGTTCTGAAATAATATTTCACTTACTTTTCGTACATTAAACTAATAGAATAGCACACAAAAAAATCATAAAATGCCCGCAAGCCACTTAATTTAAGTTAAACTCTATCGCCTTAGTAGAAGAAAGGCAAAAGTGTTTCACATTTCATACAAAATTGTCTATGAAACATGTAGCATACTATAATTTGTATTTATCACAGAAGCAGAGACAGTATTGATTTAGGTATCCGGATCAAATATTCATATGAATACCAAAGTTTTCGGAAATATATCTTCCATTACTACTTTCAGTTTTTGTTGTTGTTGTTGTTGTTTTTTTTTTTTTTAGTGTTCGATAATTAGGACAATTTTCAACCATCAACAGATTGAAATAGAATTAAGTCACTATCTATGATTCGGTGCTGTCTTCATTTACATGCAAGTTAGGCTTAGCATCCGCTGGACTACTTGGGTGTTCAAGTAAAATGTCAGGTGAGGAATTGTCGCTTAATCGATTTAGTTCAGGGCTTTGATCTTCAGCTTTTTGGACAAAGCTTGAATGCTTCTGCTCCTGTTTATGGCTTGGATGTGCATCTTCTTCTTCCTGTTTTTGACGCTTGTTCTTTGTTCTTCGGTTCTGAAACCATACTTTAACCTAAGTAATAAACAAATGACACGTGAGTACAGATTCAACACTTGTTTTGAAAAAATAAAATGAATCATTTAAAAGTTCTTCTTTATGTTCTTACAGTCTTTGTACTAATGCATTTCGGTTTATCACAACAACCAGCCTAAATAACAATGTTATTTGACTACTTCTTTCCCTCCTCCATAGCAGTGCCAAAAATGCCTATCTTTGTATGTACTTAATGAAGTCTTGGAATTTCTAAAAGCATTTTTGTTTTCATTATAAAGCAAATATTTAAAAGCCATGCTTTTTAGGTATTACACTTTCTGTGCTAAGAAAGATCTGGGTGAAATAGAAGATTAACTTGATAAAATAAAAGGTCAACATTTCGCACACACGCTCAAAATATAGTTTCAGTTGTTACACTGTATGAAGCACCATCTATACACCACATTTTGATTTAGTGATATTGCTGAATATATGAGAGTTTGTATGCTAAAAGAAAGGATATTTTTTCGCGTACTTATTCTTATTTGATCCCTAGATAGCTTTAATCAAAGCCACCATGTTGCCGGTGTATATCATACGATATCTAGGGACTAGAATTTGCTAGCCACACATGGCTAAAACCTATGCGTTTTTTCAAATCTTCTAGGCCTGACAAAGATCATATTATGATGAGTAGTGGTACGAAGTTTTATAATTTCAATTCTACATATTAACGATAAGTGTTTAGTTACATATTACAGTTCAGGCTAAGCCTAGTTTAAAGAAGCTTTGAACACAAACTGCAATTATACAAAACCAAAAATCATTGTTCCAGAACTGTATCAAAAAAACTTTCCGGGCAAATCGATCCTAAGCCTGAATAAATATAATCTAACTGAAATACACAGAGCACAATTAAACGACACATGGTTAAACAACCTCTCTCGCGATCTCTTAAGTTGTTTTCGTTCCAAACTTACCATTTTAAAACCTTTTTTTATCATCATCAGTAACCAGAAATATGAGCTATTAACACTGTAACCGCTACAGTGGACGTTTCGCAACAGGCCTAGGTTAGGCCATTACGATATTTTCCAGGACTCTTAGCAGTAGCTAGAAAAAAAAAAAAAAAAAACCGACGACAGTGTAGGAAATTTAGTAATAATTCAAGCATGTGGCAGGTAGCTGTACTTAACCTAACAATATAATGTGATTTTTACCATTATTGTTAATTTAGAAATTCTGTTCTCTTTAACATTATCAAATTGCACTTCTATGAAACAGTATCACGTTTATCTTTTAAGAACAAATTAAACATCGATTGAATGTTGATACGCCCCCCAGTGGCACAGCGGCATGTCTGTGGACCTACAACGCTAGATACCGGGTTTCGATACCCGTGGTTGGCAGAGCACAGATAGCCCATTGTGTAGCTTTATGCATAATTACAAACAAACAAACGAATGGTGATACTAGAAGCGGAGCTATCGCAAACGTATTTAGAAAGAGCAGACAAATTGAATTGAGCAATATTACTAGCAGAATCTTGGAGAAGTTACAATAGGAAGGAGAGCTTGTGCCAAACTACCGAAGCATAAAATAGTAATGGAAGTAATGGTATTAAAATCATCTTATTTACATTAGGTAAATGTTATTAATAATGTAATAATTATAATCTAAAAGTGATATACGTTAATTCATAATAAAAATATAAGATAAAAGTGTTTGCTGCCAGCCGGTTGTCTGCCTGAAGTCGATGGTTCGGAATTAGGAACCGTGCAATGATACTTGGTCTGTACATTGACAAACGTGTAGCAATGGGACTCCACAATAGAAGAGAGGAGAACCTGTGCTATGGCCGGTCCTTAACTCCTCTAACTTGTGAAGAAATAGATAAATGCCCCTAGGTAGTTCAGCGGTAAGTCTGACAGCTCATAACGCTAAAAATCAGGTTTCGATACCTGTGGTGATACATTTTGTAGCTTTGGGCTTAACAACAAAGCAAATAAATAACATTAAGTACCTAATATAATTAAGATTATTTTAATACTATTACTTCCATTACTATTATGCATTTGATGAGTTCGAAACCTACAATATGAAAACTGAAATACTCTTGGTTAGATAAATTTAAAAATAATGAATTACCATCTTCATATTTTAACGATCAATAAACAAAATACTTTTGTATTCTGATATTATTACATTTCATTTATTTATTTTTCGTTTGATTTACCGCTGAGCCACTGGAGGGCACTTTATGCTAAAATATATATATATATAATAATAATAAAGTAAAAAAGTAAATGTGGTTGCTGCGACCAGTTTCCTCCGTGTGGTCAGTGGTTGGTCATGCTATCTGAACTACGCACTGATAAATATGTTGCAACGAGGCTTAAGAATTGGTGGGAGGAGAGCTGTGCTTGAGCCGAAACCAAACTACTCTAGCGTATAAATTATTTATTTGATTAGTTATATGGTGTTAGGCCTAGCATAAGAATCCCACTCTGTGTCTCTTATATGTACTTGATCATCTGCCTTGATGTAAATGTCTGATATACTCTCCCAATAAACTGAATAAATATTGTTTAGATTATTTTCTAGATTTATTATTCGGTTTTGCAATACCAAAAAAAAAATAATTAAAGAATTATTGAAACGTATAATATTATAGCTATGACAAGATAAAACCACCGATAAAATAATGCCAGTCATCCTCACTTCCTTCGTAAATTAAATCTCTAGTGAACCAAAACGTGTTTGTGTGAGTGGAATACATATCTCTCTCCCTTTCTTTTTTTTTCTTTTTGTTTTACATAAGTGGTTTCCTGTATTTTTTCTAACTTTTCTTTGGTATTCTATAATCAATTATTTTTTCTCTCATTTCAATTTCGCAGAGGATCAGATTTTTTTCTCTAGCTTTGTGCCCCCCTCCCCCAGCACTTTCTATTGCTCTCTTTCAATTCGTATATTCAGACTGTTCATACATCTGTGCGGTTTTCAAATCTACAGTTACTTACTTTGTTACTTCACTCACAAATAATCAGTCTCTTTGCTCTCACCTCTCTTGGCTCCAATTTGGTTTATCATTAACAACATTGGCTCTTGTCTTTCTGTAAATAGAGTGCTGGAACTTTTTAATTTCCACTTTATCATCTTTCTGGATGTCAGTGTTTCAACTGTTTTTACTTACTTTCTACTCACTAGAGTTGAATTTCTTGCTCTTTTTCTTGTTTGTTATTTCGCTGAGTTCCATTTTAGCAGTCACTATTTTCTTTTTTCTCTTACATTGGTAAAACATGATCTTATTATTAGGTATATATATATGTTATGAAACAACGAAAATATTAAATATTAATAAGAATTTAATCAATATAATATTAGTTTATACAATTGGGATGATGTATGGTATATCTGGTGAAACATGGTAATTTTTTAGGGTAATATGTGACGAAATTTCCTAAAAGATGTGCTTCTAGTAAGAAGATTATATAAATGGTGTACAACAATATTTGTTGAAATACTATTTGTATTAGTCTTTTATGGTGTAGCTGGTGAAACGTGGTAATTTTTTATAGGGTTAGTATGTGATGAAACTTCCATAAAAGAAGAAGTAATATTACATAGTATTTTTAGTTTCTCCAGCAGGTAGCTCAATTTTAAACAGTTTTTTTTTTGTTAGTTCAATATTATGAATCTTTTCTTTTCAATCAGGATTCAATTTGACCTTGAATACATTATCATAGGCTCCGTCTTGATTTTACATATTTTGGTTTACTTTTTGCATTTTTTCCAATGAACATGAAGTGTTGTTAATGGATTTTTATTGTCCCATACTTGATTTATTTTCATATTTTTACTCCTTTTATTCATATTCTTAATTCTTTCTTTGCTCAATACTTGTTTTGATCCTTCCTTTGCTTCATCTGATACTCAACACTTGTTTGTTTGTAGATCCCTCCTTTGTTTCATCTGATGCTCAACACTTGTTTGTTAATTCTTCCTTTGTTTCATCTGATGATCAACACTTGTTTGTTTGTTAATCCTTTCTTTGATTCATCTGATGATCAACACTTGTTTGTTTGTTAATCCTTTCTTTGATTCATCTGATGATCAACACTTGTTTGTTTGTTAATCCTTTCTTTGATTCATCTGATGATCAACACTTGTTTGTTTGTTAATCCTTTCTTTGATTCGCCTGATGTTCAACACTTGTTTTTTATCCTTCCTTTGTTTCATCTGATGCTCAACACTTGTTTTTATACCCTTCATTTGATTCATCTGATGCTCAACACTTGTTTGTTAATTCTTCCTTTGTTTCATCTGATGATCAATCCGTATTTGTTTGTTAATCCTTTCTTTGATTTATCTGATGATCAACACTTCTTTGTTTGTTAATCCTTTCTTTGATTCATCTGATGCTCAACACTTGTTTGTTAATTCTTCCTTTGTTTCATCTGATGATCAATCCGTATTTGTTTGTTAATCCTTTCTTTGATTTATCTGATGATCAACACTTCTTTGTTTGTTAATCCTTTCTTTGATTTATTTGATGATCAACACTTCTTTGTTTGCTAATCCCTTCTTTGATTTATTTGATGATCAACACTTGTTTGTTGATCCCTCCTTTGCTTCGTCTGACGTGCAACACTTGGTTTTAGTCTCTATTTTCCTTCGTTTATTACGAGTTTTCTTTTCCTTATATTTTATTGAACTAAAATATCGTCGTACTGTCGCAATGTTCCATTATCCTAAACGTCACTGGAATCCATCTTGTTTTGTTTCGTTTTTTGTTGTTGTTGCTCTTTATATGATTTTGCTCTTGTTAAGATCCATATTATTCTCTTATATCGTTTCCAGCTGCATTCCAATTTGCTCACTCCCAGCTTTTCTTCATTTGCCAGTCTTCATTTTGTTAAAAGTGCCTATTTTGTTGCTTAGGTACTTCTCCGTTACTTAATTTGTCTTTTACTGAGCTCGCGTTTATTAGTGTTTTATCACATTGAGCTAGAATTTATTGATTATTAAGTTACACTATA